AGTAGTTCCAGTATAAGCTAGAACCGGAGAATTATATTTCACATGAACGCTATTAAAGGAAGGAAGTGGCACCTCCGGCTGCTCGTTTCCTAGTCCGATTTCATGGAGTACCGTCACAATAAAGCGTATCATGTGCCACAAAAAGCCGCTTCCTTTGATAGTCAACTCTATCAAATCATTACGAGATATCGAATTCGTTGAGAAACTGCTGAATAAGCTGAATGAATGAGGAAAAGGCACTCAACATTTGTTAAGTTTGCCGTTCTTACCTAACAGGTTCTATACTAACTTCAAACAGTTCCCTAACGAAAGACATTTTGACACGCTTTTCATTCATATCTACCTGTAAACATAAATTGGATTAAAAATTGAAATTCGTGTACACACGAATGGCGGTCCTTATGAAATCTGAAGCACCTGGCAAAAGTTCCTAAAATCATGTGTGCCAACGAGTAGAGCACCCGCTCGACGCATAGCCTGAAAATAACTTCTTTGCAGCCACAATAACTGATTCGTTCACGCAAAATCTATGGAAATGGTACCTCTACATCCAAATTGGCCCTTGGTAGACTGTATTTGTAAACCGCGCATATTGCATGCATGTCTGGCGGAAAAATTCCGCGGAACAGGAGCCCAACTAGAAATACTATATTTACACGGACAAACGCCCATGGAAAGAATCAAACGAACGAAAATCATATATTACCAAAGTTTCGATAACAACTGGAAAGTTTTTGTATTGACAGGCGACTCATAACACTAAATCTTTGGAAAGAACTCCTAACGGTGAACTAAACTCACGCTATAACGCTGATGGTCTTTGGCAGTACTCCATTCAGCATTCTAAGATATGATAACTCCTCTTTCTTTGGATAGTTTTCAATCACAGTCCTCTCGGTTGATTCAGACCAGAAAACAAATTTACCACTTACATCAGCCGACCTAAGTTCAAGTGTAGATCGTTCATGAAAAAAGTTCAAGTCATATGGACCGAGGTCATAGCTCGCGATCACATGCAGTTCGTTGGCAATTCATGAGTGGAATAGATTATGCACTGTTCACAGTCTGCGCCATACCCGAAGGACGCTCGGAACGAACGAATCTGCGCATCAGCGAAAGGAATGTGTATAGGACAAGAGATGTATGTATATCGATCAGGCGGATTGGAGGCGGACCACCGTTTCGCGCTTTCGATACGCGCGAACGGTGAGAGGGCGGAGTTGGCTACGTCGATACGCATTTGAACTGTTTCGCTTCCGCGTTCGCGCGTGCGCAGATTTTCCTGGGCGATACGTACACTGCGTTCAATAATGATACAGCCACCTAAAATTTGTTCGAAAACTTCAAAGTTCATAGAGTTTCTGAAAAACTGTCCAGATAGAAAATGTGACAAATTTCATGGCGAGTTCAGATATCAACACAAAAATCCATGAAAAAATTTTGTGCTTATTTTTTCAGAAGAGGTCGATTTTCCTATGTTCAAAAATGATACAGCCACCCCGTGTTTCTTCGTTGAAATTCATTTTTGCTTCATGAAACTGATTCGCAGTTATCAGGCTTTCACCTTAATGTTCCCACAAGAGAAAAAGACAGTTGGATTTTGAAAAAGGGTAAACTGTAGCAAAAAGGACCAGGAATCGTCAAGCAGTCATATTGCGCGAAAATTGAGTCAAAGCTCCAATACGGTTAACAATCTTTTCTGGAATCCTGTAGGTTATGGAACAAAGAAGAGCTCTGGATGTTCATCTTTGCTTTTTGGTCAAGTTAAACTCCGCATTTTGGGAAACATTTCAATTTCATCGAACAGTGCCCGGAAGAAGCCTTCTTTCAGATTTTCCGAGGTCATTCCCCAGTGGAGAATTGAAGAAACCTTGTTTGTGAAAAGAAATTCTCTCGAAAACTGAGTCATTTTTTGCTCGAAAGTGTAGCCACGTCCACTGGAGCAAGATCAGTTCTTTTGTCTGTTGTGTCTTACTTTCTGTTTACTTTCTTTCGAGTTTTTCCTTCCTCATTAAGGGTTTTCCTTTCATTAGACTCCTATGAAGCGAAAAACATTGAGAAACGCAGACAGAAAGTAAGGCATAACAGACAAAAGAACTGATCTTGCTCCAGTGGACGTGGCTACACTTTCGAGCAAAAATGACTCAGTTTTCGAGAGAATTTCTTTTCACAAACAAGGTTTCTTTAATTCTCCATTGAAGAATGACCTCGGAAATCTTCAACACATCCCAAACAATATCCATTGAAAGTTTAATTTGAAAGAAGACTGGAATTCCGGGCACTGTTCGATGAAATTGAAATGTTTCCCCAAAATGCGAAGTTTAATTGACCAAAAAGCAATGATGAACATCCAGAGCTCTTCTTTGTTCCATAACCTACAGGATTCCAGAATATGACTGCTTGACGATTCCTGTTTCTTTTTTGCTACAGTTTACCTTTTTTCAAAGTCCAACTGTCTTTTTTATCTTGTGGGAACATTAAGGTGAAAGCCTGATAACTGCGAATCAGTTTCATGAAGCAAAAATGAATTTCAACGAAGAAACACGGGGTGGCTGTATCATTTTTGAACATAGGAAAATCGACCTCTTCTGAAAAAATAAGCACAAAATTTTTTAGTGTTTTCAACATGGATTTTTGTGTTGATATCTGAACTCGCCATGAAATTTGTCACATTTTTATCTGGACAGTTTTTCAGAAACTCTATGAACTTTGAGTTTTCGAACAAATTTTAGGTGGCTGTATCATTATTGAACGCAGTGTATAATTCTTTTTCCGAATTCAAACATTCTGATGATTCAGAACTGTGAGTAGTGTCTTACTGATCGTCAACGCCACGACGTTTTGTGGAACGCGTCGCGGCGTTGACGATCGTGAATGTCAATAAAGATCACTGTTTTAGTCATCTCTTACCCGCACATTTTTCCCTTTTTGTTTCCTCAACTCATTTGTTTCACTGGATTCCCTGATTTTACTATTCGACTAATATGGTAGGTCAGATAGCGTAGAAAAGAAGGAAAGAAAAGCCGTGTATCGTGTCACAACCAGACAGGTTACGACTAAAATCGTGGACGGCGCCGCTTGCCTGGCCATCGTATCGCTGGGATCGAGAGCAATGACCAGCGCTTAAGTGCAAACAGATCTGTTGCCTAACGGAAAGAGAGGTTCATGAATTTATACCTCACCACAACGGCAGCACTTGCTTGAAAGCTGACACTCCCTTGTCAGTTCGACCACATCGAGAGAAATCGCAGTCTTTTTCAGAAGAGATGAGCTTTGTTTTGAGAAGGCAGCATCAGTGATCCTGCATATCGATTGGCACTTATGATGTAAGCTGTAAGCTCGATCAAGCTGATGCTCAGACTTAATACACAGTGTTTTCAGTTATTCTCGCATTGCGGATACGAAGAGACCTTCGGTATTCCTCGATAGAAAGAAACTCTTGGGGGAGGGTGCGATGTGTTGCGCGCGGTTGAATATGAAAGGTTAAAGTCGAATGACACCGTCCTCTTTCTTCATTTTCTTTTGGAAAAAGCAAATACAAGAATGCATTGCAGTAAGATACAATCACTGTAGAATTATGTTTACAGCGTTAAAGGAATTATTGCGTGGTGTCAAGTACAAAGATTCTCGTCGGAAACAGTGGGGACATGGAACCACGAAAAACTCATTTGGTCTAATTTTAAGCGAATAGGTCAAAACTGCACTCATCTTAAAAATGAATAGCTAATAACGCTTGTTCTGCAATGCCACCCTAGGTTCGATTTCTTCAGACAGCATGGATTCTGGGTATGGACCGAAAGATATCCTGTAGATTGCAGGATGACAGGCTAACGATCAAACCGAATTATTACGCTTCGTGCTTGCCTTGGCTTTAAGAATGACAACAAATCTGCGACTTTCAATTCACATCAACCAGCCATCTTTTGTAAAATATGACGCTGGGCTAAAACTATCGCCAATCTTTCCAATTGGGATCTTTCGAAACAATAGGTTTCACTTATACTACAATCTTTCAAATCAGTCCAACTGACGTCAACTCTCCTTAAATTTTGTGGACGGTGGGGTTTGGCAGCATTTTTTCCTGCCTTGCCTAACAAAAAAAAAACAATGGAAGAGCGAAATGCCAGATGACGCGTACGAGTCAGTTGAAGAGCTTGAACACTGAGTGGAGCTAATCCTACTCTGCTAGCTTATTTGAAGGATCTCAGATGGCAACTGAGATAACTATTTGTGTGAAGTCGGCTCAAGCGTGTACCACTCCCCATTTGTTCGATACAAACAAATCGTGCGTCAAACACTAGGAATTGCCATGCTACTTTCCCTCTGCCCCTACTAGAGCGTATTTTCAAATCGGAAGATACAGTGCTTTATCCCAATACTGCTACGCACAATTCTTTCCATACACTTCAATTAAAACGTCGGAATTCTAGCCTAACAACCTCATGCTCTCAATTGTTATCAAGAATGAGGGTTTTCCCCACCATTTTGGAATCACCCATCATGCGGACAATGACGTACAGTAGCGCTCAAAAGTCTTCGGCCAAACGCTTTGTCGGGCCGTAACTTTTTGCTGTGGCCAGGTATACAGTTTTTCTTCTTTTTCGAGAACTCTTACAGTGATCAAAATGGCAAACTCGGAAAGCGGTAAGCGATTATGCCCAAATTAGTAACGGAAACAACTCACTAGGT